GCCATCCCTGCCTTTACAGAGAGGAAATTGTGATAGGAGTTACTACTACTGATGGGCACTGAGTACATGTGTTCAGTGTGTCTCCTCTGGGTTAAGCTCAAAGGGTAGGGGAGCCAGGAGGCAAAAAACAGGTACAACCAGCCCTACAAAAAGGCTACAACACAAAACCTCAGGGTGTAAAGAATGCATAACCGGTGAACTGAAGTGCTGATTCTAGACACATGTGGCTATCGTTGGCTTTTGTGTATTTTTGCCAACTTGGCCAAAAAAGAAGCATGGAGCATATCATGAGATAAGTGAATGTTAACAAGTCCGTAAGTCTGAAAACCCAAAGTGGAGGTAGAAAGAGGGAGGTAGAGGGAGACTGAGTGGAAGAGGGAGGGAGAGAGAAAGAAAAGTAAAAAAAGACAGGGGTTCAGAAATCTTCTCCAGATACTCTGGTCCCACAGCTTCTCTGCAGCCCCATCCTCCCTTCACTGCCCTTACGGCAGGCCACACTGCCTCCCCTTATTTGTAGCCTTCCAGTCTAGGTCTCCTTCTTGATCCAGAAGCACAAGCGGATGTCCAGAGTTCAGCCAAGCCCACACCTTCTCTCTAGGAGGCCCACACACCAGCACTCACGGGCCCCTCCCAGGCCCAAGAAGACTCCATTCAGACTGAAGAGGTGTTTCATTAAGATTCCAGGTCAGGAGGAGGACAGATCTGAGAGCCAGATGCCAATCTAGAGTCTCTAGCCTCTAAACTGGAAACATTCCTGTTCCGTCCTAGCCTCACCTTTCAAAATGGAGTACTGCATTTGATAACTTCACGGTTTAGAAAGCATATGAGCTTTAATATCTTCCAGATATTGGAATCTAGTTCCAGTACACAAACAGCTACTCAAGGCCAGCTTGGTAGAATAGGCTGAATGAACCATTGCTTGTTCATTATACAGTCTTTCACCTTGAAACAGGATATTGTATCTGCATCGGCAGAGTGATATTAATATGAATATCATACCTGTAGATCTCCAGGATGCTTCCCAATGTTAATGTTTTGAGATTTTTTTTTCTCTCTCTCTACAAAAATCGCCTGTTTAGGGAGAGAAGGGGGATTGTCATATTTGCTGAGATGAGATTTTTGCTTTGATGTACCAAATTCACAACCAAGTCCACTACGAGCAGCAAAATCCACCTTACAAAGAAAAATCTCTCTCCCCCCCCCGACCCCCACCCCGGCATGGAACGTTTTGATCTCTCAAAGGTCAACCCTTAGATTCAAAAGCCACAAAAGCCTCGTCTCATTTGTTCTGCATGGACTTGCATCATTTCTTCCCTTGGACATCACTCTCCATACACAAATCCTCCTCACAGATTTCATGGGTGTTGGAGAAGACTAATGAAAATAAGTTCAGGACTATCCAGTCCTGTAATGTTCCAGAGAGCTAGCTAATGTTAGCACAGGGACTGGCAAAGCCTGACTATTTAGGCAATGTAGGCAGTTAACAGCCATGTGCTTTAAACACTGTGCCATAAGGGCTCTGTAACTTCCCCAAGATCGTGAAATCCTGTCCCAAAAAGAAGTGAATGCCAGGGTACCTGGCAAGAAACTGTAACTATCCAACTGAAATGTCTGTGGTTCAAATCCACCAGTAGTTCTGAGGGAGAAGGATGAATAGTTCCCTCCTGTAAAGATGTACAGCCTTAGAAATGCAATACAGCATTGCTCTGAGTTGGAACTGACTCGACAGCACTGGGCTTTATGGGAAAATAACATCAAGTACTTGAACTAGTGGGCCTGGGATGTCAACAGTTCAATTAAAATCTAAGGAGTTGAAATTTGATTTCTGTTAAGTTGTCAACAAAGCATTTAAAATGTTTGAGTCACTTCATAGCTAACTGAGAGAAAATAATAACGGTAGCCTAAGGAGCAATAGAGACAGATGATTGGAGGTGACTGGAGTGGCGCGGGGGAGGGTGTGCCCGACTTCAGCAGGGTCTACACTCACTTTCTGTCGCCTTCTATGGAGCTCATGTCAAGGTGGGCCAAACGGTGATGGTGGCAAAAGTCAAAATGTTAACACTTCCAAACACACCAAAGAAACAATTCAAGAAACAATTGATAGATTTGTTGCTGTGAGAGGCAAACACACTAGGGATAGAAAAGCCACAAGGGCTGATTTGTGCTGATGTGCAGGCCGGACAAAGGGACAGTGAGGGAAGGGACCGGAAGCAGATAATGCTGGGCATCAGAGTACAGGCTCCTGCGAGGGTCAGGTCACCACCACAGCAAAGGGTGATTTTGCTGGGTAAGGTTTAGCGTCAATGTTCTGCCGTCTGCTCCCAGAGGTACAGATCCTAAATGTTCCCAGCCTCCAAGACAAAAATTCATGTTTGGCTGACTTGGTGGACTGACTTTGAGCCTACAACTGTCCCTTCAGCCTTTCCTGGTCCTTCTGGAAGTGTTGCCCTTGTGGAGGTGCTGAAGAAATGGCATTCCCAAAATCCTTCCTCCAGAAGGTCAGGTCAGTGAATTCATGTCACTATTGGAAGAAGATACAGAAGGGAAGGAGGAGGCGGCGCATGGGGGTGGGGACAGTGAAAGGAAGCTGATTCACTCAAAGGTCCAGCTACTCCCCAAAAGCCTCTTCACATTTTCAAATGTCACATTCCACATTTAAATTAATATGTCTTCCTTCCTGACAGGGGGAAAAGGGGACAATTTGTCTTAATATTTCACACTGTGTCTTTAAAACCAGTGATTCATGCAGCTGAAGGCCACGGGGCAAGGGAAACTGTTAGCTCAAAATTCTTGACCCTCTTCCTGTAACTCCAAGCCCCCACTCAGCTCACAACAACAAGGTTCCTGGCTTCACTTCCCCTTAAGGTTCAAAGCTCAGCACTTGCCAAGTCTTCTTTCTCAAAGACACTTACAAAAAGAAAGTCGTCTGGAACAATTGAAGCCTTACAGCCCACAACTCCAAGACTGTATTATTTCTTGTAGGGTTACAGTAATGCCAATGCCTTCAAACGTCTAACTCCTGAAAGAAAGTGGAAAATAATGTAGTCTTAATTTCAGTTTTTTCCCTCGAGGAAAAAAGAGTTCCCAAAATGTCAAAGTGGCAGGAAATGAAGCTCAGAACCCCTGAATGATGGCCCTCATTTCGCATGTTCAAAGCTCATGAATGGTGGTGGTTCTGGATCAACAAGGTAAAATTCATAATTGCTGAGTCCATTCTAACTCACAGAGCAGCTGGTTGGTTTGAATTGATAACCTCTCAGTTGTTACTGTTATGTGCTGTTGAGTTACCTGAAACCCAGCTCTGAACCCAGCCCTGTCCTGAGCCAGTATCACTAATGCTGACACACCAACCCTCATTGCTCTAGTTACTGTATCAGTCCATCTTGTCCAGGGTTTTTCTCTCCTACACTGTCCCTCTACTCTTCCAAGCATGATGACCTTCTCCAAGGACCGATCCCTAATGGCCACATGCCCCAAGTACGTGAGACAGAGCTTCCAAATCCTAGCCTCCTAGGAGAAAGTTGGTTTAACCCTCTACAAGAAAGACCTATTTGTTTTTCAAGGAACTCATGCAATATTCTTCAAAATGGGTTACCCTGGAGGACATTATGCTGAGTGAAATATCTCAGTCACAAAGGGACAAATACTGCATGGTGCCACTGTTGTAAAACAGGACTGACATCAGGGTTGGGGTAAGACTGAGAAAAAACTGGATAAATTATGTATACTTTATTGAAATAGATGAGGGATAGAACTGTTTAGAGGTAATATATGATTGAGTATTATGGTTAGCACAGGAGTCCAGAATTAAGGTTGCATAGAGAAGTGTACTCGGTGGGTGGGTGGGGCATGGGGGAATTGTATACCAATGATGGAATTTTTTTTTCTTTTTCTTTTCAAAGAGAGGGGTGAACTGGTGGGGAGGGGTGGGCAGGGAGAAAAGTACAGCAATGAATGAATGGAAGTCCAAAATCTCTGTAAATGTTTATTAAAATAAATAAAAATGGGAGGAAAAAGAAAGACCTATTTGTTTGTTTGTGGGTTTTTTTGGCAGTCCATAGTATGTTGAATACTCTTATGCAGCACCACAACTCAAAGACATCTATTCTTCTTCTGTCATCCTTAGTCATTGTCCAGCTGTCTGATGCATAGCAAGTAATTGTGAAGACCATGGCTTCGATCAGGCCCAGCTTGGCCTCTAGAATGACACTGTTGCTCTTCAGGACTGTGGAGAGGTCCCTGGCAGCAGATGTACCCAATGCAATTCATCTTTTTATTTCCTGACTTCTGGTGCAAAGGGTGTTGATTGTGGAACTGTTAACAACCTCAATCTCTTCTCTATCCATCATGATGCTGCCAATTAGTCCAGTGGGTCCAGTGGTGTGTGCATCTTTGCTTCCTTGATGTTGAGCTTCAGTCCATATTAGGAGGCTCTAGTCCTTGACCTTCTGCAGCAAGTGCATGAGGTCCTCCTCAGTTTCAGCAAGCAGGGTTGTGTCATCTGCATAACGCAGATTCTTGATAGATCTTCCACCAATCCTGAGGCCACACTCCTCCTCATACAGCCCAGCCTCCTGAATGACGTGTTCAACACATAGTTTGTCGTGGTGGCCAATGGACACATTTGGAACTTTGGCGGCTGCCCGGGCGACTGGGTTATATGTCACAGAATAACATTCGAGAATGGAAAACGGACTGAGGCGACAACCGTCGCAGCAGCGAGCGTCATTTCATTCCCCAGAAGAGGCTCTGAAGTAATGAAGCCCACCGGACAGAGGCCCGGGCCCATGGGCAACAGCCGCTTCGCCTACTTTCCGGCTTCGGCGGCGGTGGGGAGAGGCATGAAGAACACCGCGCCCGCTCGCCCACACGCCCCAAGCTTCCTGCCCCGCCCCAGCCCCGCCATGACTGGCTCGGCCGCGAACACGCACCCCTGCCCCCACCCCAATGGCACCATGGGCCTGAGCAGCCAGGCGCCGCTAGGAAGCCTCGCCAAGGAAGGCAAGCTGCCATTTTATGTGAACAAGAGCGGCTTCCCAATTGACAGCGACACCTGGGAGCGAATGTGGATGCACGTGGGGAAGGTACACCCTCAGCGAGCGGAAATGGTGGACGCCATCAGGAACGCGGAGTTCCTGCCAAACCCTCCAGTACCCCAGGTCCCAAGCTACAGGCCGTCATTGACGATCCCAGAATGGCTCCAGGAGATCCAGAATTACATGAAGGCACTTCAATACAATCACACAGGGACCCAGTTCTTTGAAATCAGGAAGATGAGGCCTCTGAAGAAGTTAATGGAAACAGCAAAAGAAATGACACAAGAGTCTTTGCCTATCAAATGCCTTGAAGCTGTGATCCTGGCCATATACTTCACCAATGGGCAGCCTTCCATTGAGCGATTCCCTATCAGCTTTACATCCTACTTCGCAGGAAACTACTTTCACCATATTGTGCTGGGGATTTATTACAATGGTCGCTACGGTTCCCTGGGCATGAGTCGGAGGGCAGAGCTGATGGACAAGCCATTGGTCTTTCAGACTCTGAGTGACCTCGTCTTTGACTTTGAAGACTCCTACAGTAGATGCCTACACACAGTTAAGAAGATCAAGATTGGGAAATACGTCCCCCACGAGGCTCGTAGCTTTCAGCCCATTGAATGGGAGCAACTGGTGCTGAATGTCTCCAAGATGTTGAGAGATGACATAAGGAAGGAGCTAGAAAAATATGCCAGGGATATGAGGATAAAGACCCTGAAACCTGCAAGAGTGGACTCTTCTACCCAGTTGAGTATCCAGGGCAAGTCCCTGTCCACCTACAAGGGACAGGCAAGCCCTGAGAGATGTCTTGGCAGAGAAGACAAATCACCTGCACTGCCTGAAAATAAGGTAGTGGATCTTAGCTTTCTGAGCATAACCGGACTATCATGTTTGGATTTAACTAAGCCCTAATGGCTGGAAGACAGCTGCCAAGGTGCTTCTATCTACACTTTACCTAGTGTCTTCAGGTGGAACTGCAACTATTAGGAAAACTGTATGGATTCTATTTTTCTGGATTCAACTGGAAACAGAACCAGAGTTAGAGGTAACAATTAACCTTAAAAAAAAAATAAGTAATGAAAGGGCAACCATGAAAATACTAAAGTAGCAAACCCAACTGAGTCTGGGCTGTCTCCTTTTGAGAGTCAAAGGCTACAAACCGCAACTGTAGTTTTGTATTTTGCCATTTACCTGCTTTCTTTCCTTTGCTTTGAACATTATGCTTCACCAGTTGCCAGTATTCCCCAAATCCTCCCCCTTTCGGTAGAGTTAAGGTAACTCAATCAGTATTTAGTGTCTTTTTCAGCAATAACAGCAGCAGTGATGGGTGGGGTTTTTTGAAGCAGTCAATATTACCTCAGCATCTTGACATCAGGTATACAAACTTAATGGTGTTTTGGTTTTTGAATATTCTATTTACACTGTTTCCCCAGTGTTTTCATGGGGATATCCTGAAGTCTGGAGTTTTTCTTTTTTTCTTGATGCACACCTGTGATGAGATTTAAGATGTTTTTATGCATGTATTTGACTAAAAGACATTGAACTCCTTCTGGCAATACGGGAAACGATATTCAAGACTTTGGAGTGCCTTCCATCTAAGGCTATCTTACAGCATTCTCTTGACAGCGGTTCTTGTCCTTTCAAAATAAAATTTTTAAAACCACATTTAGGAGTGAGTGTTCTGTTCCATCAATAGCATTTAAACCTTGCATATTCCAGCAAAAAAAAATAATAAGATATCAAACACTGTTACACAGATTTAGTGGTGGTGTGGTTACTTCTGCCAGTTACTCTCATAGAAAATACGAGGCCAGGAGCGAATCAGTATCTCTTGAGAAGCAGATAACATTTATATTCACATTTCATCTGATTTTTTACTGAGCCAGGCTTTGATTCTGTGTACTCACTGCTGTTAGAGATGTTATCTGATGTCACCCAAGGTGACATAATAGGATTCCCTCCCCCTGTACTTAACTTTTAGGCACCACATCATGACATTTAAGAAGAAGTAATAGAGAGTAAAATTAATTAGCGAATCAGAACTTTTAGTGGAAAACTCTTCTGGTACAGTGTTACACTTTATAGTGTGATTAACCCATGAAGCACAGCATAAATACTTGGCCTGTATATGCTAGTTAACTTCTGGCTGTTGGCCACAGAGAATAACTCTTTTTTTTTTTTTTTTTTTTTAGAGAATAACTCTTAATAGCATACTTCATCTGCATGTTATCAAGAGTAGAGCTTTTTCATTTATGTCAGCACCTATGCCAACTGATGAAACCTAAGGGCATCTTAAGTCAAGTCTGCTGGTCCACAAAAGTGTTATTTCTGCCTCATTGATTCTCTAGCTTTGTGTGACACAAGGTAGTTCTAGAAAGGAAGTTTGTTGAGGGGAAAAAAAATCTCACAAAGAATCTGTTGAAATTCTTCACCTATAGAACAAATCTCTGGTGGTCACATGGAAAACAAACACTGACTTCAGCTATGCCCATGAGAGCTTGCTTTTCCCTGAAAATCAGTATTACCAATGGAAAGTCCTGTTTGTTTTAAAAGAAGGAAGTATAACATCTTCATGAATAGAAGCAAGTATTTATCTCAATTACATTGAAATGTAACACATGTTAAAAATCCTAAACTTTCTTATTTCTTCAAGAGTATCACTTAGAACTATTTACAGTGAGTTTATCTTTGTACATTCCCACAAGGCAAATGTACTGAGGTACCTGGAGTAGTCATTTCTTTCTCATTCTTAAACATTATGACTCAGCCATTTCTATATAGATATACCCTCTGTTTACCAATCTGAAACTTTTATTCTATCCAACAAGTAGACTTTGCAACCATTCTGTGAACTTGGAACAGGATTTGCTAAGTACTACTTAAGCATTGCCCCTATTAAAATATCAAAGAGATGCAGTCTCATTTCTCAGAAAGGGGGGGGGGAGCAATAGGAATACAAGTTTGTCTCTAATGTACTGATAAATATGCCATAAAACTGTTAAATGGCTTGATAATCAATTAGAATAACTTCTGCTACCCTCATTTCTTGATTATGAAGGTTACTTCCCGCCCTTTTCTGTGGACAGCATGCCAAAAGGTTGGGGTCACCCCTGACTTTCTAAGGGTGTTTCTCCCCTTCTTTCATTTTTTTAAACTCTTCTTTGCAATACATTAAGAAACCTTTTCATTTGTTTTGCCAAATTAAAAAGAAAAAAAAATACATTCACTTCCCCAAACAAGAAAATCATAGGAATACAAAAATTCCTTTAACCTGGTCTGAGCTGTCATTCAATTTTTATTTCCTGTGGAATATGTTCAGTTCTAAAATGTTATGGAAAGGCATCAAATCCCTAAATTCTAATGCAGTAATTTAATGAAAATACTATTAAGACAAGAAAAAAAATACATTCTTTATCTCTCAAATGTTGACTTTAAGATTGGTTCTGCTCTTCAAAAGATGAAATTAAAGTATGATTTTAAATGCAGAAAAATGCTCAAGCCATATGCAAAGTTTAAATGAATGACAGAAGTAAGTGATTTTAGATTCTATGGTGTGCTGTTTTGAGTACACTTTATTTCAGAAAGTGATACTTAGGATTTTCTATACACTGAAATCATGAGCTTTTCACTTTTTCAAAGTCAATTATTTAATAAGGATTTTGTTACTAGACATTGGTAAATAGAACTTTGGAAATTTTAATTCCTTATTCTTATTATACTTGAGGCTTTTGTAAGCTATAATTTTATGTACAAACTTGTACAGTTTTTTCCCACATGCAATTCTGATTTTGTTTATTCTCTTAGACTTGGTTCTGGCCAATACATTTTTTTTCTTAAATCTTCAAGAAAAACCTTTGATTGTTTTACTCATATTTTTCTAAGTAAATGAAAACTTGTACAATGGTATTTCAGAGAATGCCAGATTAAGTGCATGGTTCACATTAATGTTTTTCTCATTGCTTGTATGACTGTCTACAGCATGAGACTTTAATAAAACCATCCTGGACAAACAAAACAAAAAAAGATATGGAGACAAGATGCATCCCTGATGCACAACTCTCCTGAATACTTCTCAGTTAGCAGCCAAACATTTAACCACCAAGCTGCTAAGGGTTTTTAGAGAATGAGAATCAAGTCACTGACCTCCAACAAAACTACATCCCTGACAGTTAAAAAGTCATGGCAGCACAACAACTTGAATGCTAACTGCAAAGTGTGGCAGCTTGAACCCAGCAGTCCCTGGTGAGCTCAAAGAGTCAACTCATTATATTGCCATTAAGTTAGAACAGACTCATAGCTGCCCCTCCAGTGGGTTTTCCGGAGGCTGTAAATCACATGGAAGGAAATTCTTCATCTTTCTCCCATGGAGCTGCTGGTGGATTTGAACCACCAGAAAGGAACCGCCTTCAGGGTGGGGGCACAACTCTCTATGGCCATCTAGAAAATGCTAAGAGGTTATCCAGATTTGTTACACTGGGTGACTGGGAGTTAAATAAACATCCATTTGCAAAAACATCATCTATTCACAGATTTCATAAGTATGTAGCATTTCTTACCCGCTGGACCAAGTAAATGACAGCTAGGACTCAGGCATTGGTTTATTATTATAACAAAAATAGAGATAACATAACATTTTACAATTCAGCCTCTTTCATGTATAGAATTCCAAAAGATCCATATCCACCATGCTGCACCACCACTGCTGATATCATCTGTCAAATATTCCATCCCCATAAACCAAAACTCCATGCTTTCTAAGCAGTCACTCACTCTGCCATTAAGAGAAACGATGTTCTGATACGTGCTGCAATAGTGCTGAATCTTCGAAACATCAAACTGACTATTTGAAATAAGTCAATCAACAAGAGGCAAATGGGAGAGCTCACTAATACGAAGCCTCTACAATAGGTAAATACAGAGATCAGAGTTAAGTAGAGGAGGAGGCACCTTTTTTTTTTTTTCAACAAAATTCACAGGCGACTCAGAGGCAGATGGCCCAGGGACCACTTTGTGAGGAACACTGCCCTTCTGACTCCATCAAAATCCCTGATTATGGATCCCAGAGATCTGCAGAGATTCTTTCAACAAATAATGTTTGAATGCCAACTGGGATGGGTACTATGGTTGTTGCTAGGGCATACTCTTTCATCTGGCTTGGGCATCACCTGTTTTGTGAGTGGGTATCTTCCAGGATGTCTCTAATCCCACATTTTGACTAATAGAGGAACAAAAACCTCATCCAAATGGAATTTCTTCTTAGGCCTTTTTTCTTTCCTGAACACACTTTCTTTCTTAGATTATTATTCTAGGAAAGGTCTCGTCCAAGCAACAGTCTCAACTTTACGATCCTATCACATGCACCATAAACCACCTTGATGCTTCACTGCCATTACTAAGAGCTTCCCCAGGACAGAAATACATATTATAATGAGCAACGCAAAACAAACCAACAATGCCTTTCCAACTCGCACTGAAATAGAATAATCTATCAGCTGTAGCCCAGATGGCTTGTTCTCTGTAACAGGTAAATGACTAGATGAGATTATCTGGGAAACAGTTGTAATTTAAACTTCTGCCTTAGAGAGTTCAACAAGCCCCAGCTTTCTGAACTCTCCATAATGGCTAGTCCAAGCCTGGTGCCAAAAGGCACCAAACTAATAATTTGAGAAATACTGTCCATGGATCACCTGCAGCAGAATCACCCTGGATGGTTACTAAATGTGCAGATTCCCAAACTTGACTCCAACCTAATGTAGCAGATTAATTACATTTCAAAATTCAAATTCACTGCTGTCAAAAAGTTGAACACAGCTGGTCAAGTCAGTTGGTTAGCAGGGCAATAGGCTACAGACTCCACCACCGAGCAAAACAACCACCAAGAACAAAACGTCTCACTGGCAAGTAGCAAAACC